TTTTGAACATATTACTGTCATCGCCTTTTGGTTGCGTAGTAATTGTTTGTTCTGCAGTTCCTTGTGAGCGTAGATTTGTCGAGTGGGGGTGTCTGACTTGTCTTCCGTGGACAATACGCCAAGGCTACAGCAAGAATTTTTACGTGCAACGCCGTTAGTTGCGCTATCTGTAGGGGTCAATTGTTGTTGACCAGCTACTGACGGAGGTGAGCATGCAATTTGTGCGTAACTGCATGCTTTGGCGCATTACGTGAGACTTGGGGTACCGTTCAAGCGGCCTGTTTTCACTGCTGTTTTTCACTAACGGTGTTTGCCTTTCGCTGGACTGGGTAGCACTTTTGCTAGAGAGCTTTGCATTTTAACAGGTCGGGGATTCGGGCTACGTAATGCACTAATCTGCAACTCGAGTTCTGAGATTTTCCCTCCCAATGCAGCGATCAGTTCCTTTTGATCTGCAGACGTAACAGTCAATGTTTCACACCTTATAGGAAGTTTTTGAACGATCTTAATTATCGGACTATTTGAACATATGTCACAAAACCACAAGCTATCTGTCGATACTCTGTTAGCTTCGTTAAGTGTAACGTTCACATTTGTCGCGTCATATGAATTGGCACAGAACGAACACGTGATTTTCGGGCGGATTTCAGTCCCCCGCTTGTCTAATCCCCGGTTGACCTTAGCTTTGTTGCTCACTGGGTTCCCGGTTGACAAACTTCTCCGGCCCATGGATCAATGGTCGGTATGCACTTTTAGGTTGCGCTGGTCACGTCGCTTGGCTGCCTGTTGTCTGCTCCAGTCAGCGCGTTTGGATGGTGCGCCACTAGGCGCACGGGTATGCAAAATCACACAGGCTTTGTGCAGTGAAATGCACGTAGAAATATGGTGGTAAGGTGAGATGACAAAAATGCTTGTATCTATGGTATACCCTGGTGCACAGTACTAAGTTATATATTGTCTGACAGCCTTAAAATGGTCTGTCGAATTGTATCCCGAAGGTACTGATGAAACTCAAATAAGCAAAGTTACTCAAGTTGGCCTTGGTGAATAGACTTCCGAAGACTTAGTTTGTGGTGTACCAGCGTGTCGTTGGACTTACTTCAAAAATATAGACGCCGTTGGATAGAGCTCAGTGATCCGAATCGATTTAGCGTACTTCCGAAGACGTGGCACAAGAATTTGAAGGGATACGTCCAATTAAACACAGAGCACAGGATTGCATGATTAGCACGCACACGCTGACAAGGTCACCAAGCGCATCAGCACATCTGCGATGATTGATTCCATCACTTTGGATAGTACGGGAAGTAGTTATTAGGCGGTAGTTGGCAGGAGCAGTGCGGCTGCCTCCTTTATGGATAGGAGTGATGACCCCTAGCTTCCATACTGGTGGAATACCGTTCTCTTCTAGACATCACTGATAGAAAACAGCCAGTGGTTCTGTTAGATCACTAGCTACCGCCTGTAGAGCCTTTGGTCGGATGTTGTCAGCTCCGGGGGAACTGTGGATACGCAAAGATAACAACTTCTTCAACACAGCTTCCGCAGCGAAGGTGATGTTTTCTAAACCAGATGGTGGGGTATTAGAAATGAGGAGAATGTTTGGGCTAATTACCTGCAGAAAAGTTTGGGAGTAATGAAGCCGTAGGAGATCAGCTGCTTCCATTGCTTATCGCGTGCACCCACCAGCCGTGACGAGTGCTGGAAACCCCGCTTCACCTTTCGAGGGCCGTTAACCTGCCTTTACAGAAGTTTGCGGTCCGTGCAGAATCCCTTCATTAACTTCTGCTGATGAGTGAGCTTGTCTTCGCGGACCAGTTTCACACAGAAGCTACGATGTGTCACGTATGCAGTCCAGGTTTCGGCGTTTGACCAGTCCTGGTTATCTCGCCATGCCAAATCTCTCCGGGCCATACATTTACGTGTTCTGTTCCTCAGAAATGACTTACGCTTGTTTTTGGGTTGGAAGGACTTCTGTTCCGATGCGTGCGCTACCAGTGTGCTAAACGTCCTTGTAAATGTTTCCCAGGCAAAATCTGGGGGGCATTCGGTTAAGGAAGTCCAAGATGTATCCTTAACAAGCTTAGACAACACATTGTAGGGCGTGATAGTGTGCACTTTATCTTCCTCCTTTTCAGGGTACTCCGCATAGCATATATAGTCAATGAGTAGAGTAATATGATCACTACGACCCAGTGGTGTGCTTGTAACTATCCCGTCAACCATGAGTTCTTCGTTAGTTATCACAAGATCCAGTATCGACGGCTTGTTAGCAGTTCGAAATCTGGTGGGAGAGGTTACGTGGTTGTAAAGAGGGTGGCTAGCAATTAGCTCTTGCAAACAGGCTTTAAACGGCATGACGTCGGTTGCCGGCGTTTCTATGTCGTGCACTTTAAAGTCTCCAGCGATAAGAATTTGGGTGTAGGACTTGTTCAAAGCAAACTGGAAAACGTGGTTCAGTTTGGAGTCCATTTCCGACGTTTAGTTTGGTGGGCGAGAAATCACGGCTAGTAAACATGTGTCCTTGTTTCGCAACCATGGGCGGCATCAAAGCGAATCGGAAGTTCGGATTTCCGGGTGACCGATAACTTCACGTCGGAGGTTTGTATTATAATAAAGAATCACACCGCCACCCCTTCCGGTTCTATCCGTCCGAAGCAGCGACATACCGGGTAAATTGATCCCAGAATCGGTTATCTCAGGTTGTAACTATGTCCCTGTACTCATGAGGAGGTCCCGCGGTTGTGAGGCATGGAGTTCTCTAAGTTCGGCCAACTTGGTTAGAAGGCCTTGGGCGTTTGCGTACATGCAAGATAGGGCTTTTGTTTTTAGGAGTTCATTGATAGATGTCAACTTTGTGTTAGTTTTTGAGCCGGCCGTTGGGTGGCCGGCCATTAATGGTTTTTTGATTTATGTATTTCAGTCGTGTTGCATGGCATTATTGTGCGTTCCTGAACAGTCGTTTCACTCGTGCTGTGCTCGGTCCTCTTGTGTGCCGTGGGCGCTGTTGTGTCGGTCTCGCCGCAGGACTGTGAAAATAAAAATTTGTTGCGTTTGCAAGTTCCATTGAATTGCTTCCGACTTTTGGTCGTTCGCCTGCTGCCTTTAGCCGGATCTCAGTGGGCAACCTAGCTCGAAACGTTAACCAGCTATCCAACAGAACTTGCGTCATTCCCTCGGAGTGTAATATTACTTTCATTGGTCTTGAATCGCAGCCCTTGTAGTTAGGTGATGACGGAACTCTTGTCAGGGATTTGGCAGTAACATTGTCAACAGAGAGTGCTTCACGGATGTAGCACCACTGCCCTCGGTCATGTGCCGATATCTTCGACGGGCGCAGAATGGGTGCAAAAGCTGAACGCCAAGAAAATGCAACACCTTCTGCCCTTTACATTTTCAATCGTTTGCAGTCATGTCTTTGATATAAGCTTGTTGAATGTATCCGTATTGATGAAAAATGATTTTCTTGATAAAATTATTTAATCAAAAGTAATGGATGTAAAATTATCTGAATTTCAACAGTTACACTATACTGTTTGGCTAGGTAAGTATGCAAAAATTATTTTCCGGAAATTGATGGCTTTGTTCGGTACGGATCAAGTAAAGCAAAGTTCCGTACCGACAAGCATCTTATTACGCCAATTTTTAACATATATATATATATATATACATAGACATACTTTTCATTAATCATATGTTATCTACTACACCGATATTCTGCTTCGCTATTCACACTGGATAACTACATTTCGATGACGTTTTCAATGGAATGAGAAGCATACTGACGCTATTGCTACTTGGCACTTGAGTTGCTGACGACCGAGTATTAAACAATAATTTAAAGAATTAATCATGTGTCAATGCAAACAGATGGATCGGAGAAGCTATGATTCATTGCGATAAGTCGGCGGACAATTTGTTGGTTACTTTATTACCGGTAAATATTCAATCTACATGAGTGCGTCTAAAGTTCTTCACTAGGCTGGTGGGATTCTTTGGAAGTTTTATGATACCTAATGATGCAAATCAAATTGCTTATTCTTTTAGAGTACAACCATTTTGGGAAATTTTGTGAATTCCCGGCAAGTGTTATCATACGGTTGTTGTTTATGTTAGTTTACACGAGTCATGGATACGATGATCTGTCAAGATATTACAGAAATATTGAAAAAGGGGTATTGGAAGTGCGTTCTACTTCCAAAGGCCAAAATTGTAGATTTTGAAGCACTAATGAATATGCGTTATGAAATGGGCAAACTTGTGCCAGTAAAGAACACCAGACAGATAAATATAAGTAAAAGATCAACACCAAATTCCCCACTAAGTATGTGGTAGATAACCTGTTTTAAAATGAGCGTACTGTTGTTGTATACTCAAGTTATCTTATTAGCAAAGTGTTAATTTCTAAGAATAATCTAGCGCAGTCTAGATTGGCTGCAGAACATGTTACGGTGCAGAAATGTCCCAGTGGATACAACCGTATAAATAACTGGTTGTAAAATTGAACTCATTCTTAGAAGGTAATTAATCTGGAATGGATAACTACAACTTTGTGAAAGTAAAAACCTTTGTACGCTATGTTAGCCATAATTCAAGCAATTTATATACTAGGTTGTAATAAAACAGGCTAGATACATGTGTGGTTCAAAATGTTTTAAATATAAGGCTCTGTTAGCTTTTATATTTGTACCGAGAACCATTAAACAGGAAAAGCCTATCGCCGGTGATAAGCTTAACAAAGTGTTTTATATTTGCAAAACGAACTTGCATTTAAAAAGACTATCGGAAACCTCAGTGTAATATGTATACGAATAACATGCTATAAATTATTATTTGATAAGACGACATGCAGCCAACTGCAGGTGTATCAACAACGATGTGGAAAAGTTTACACACCTTTCAAAGCCAGGCGCAGTAAATTTTACATTTGCTGGAAAGAATACTCAGACATAATTATTTCATGTCCATGAATCATGTTTGACGCTATGTTGAAAATTTACCTGAGGGTATGTTCGTTACTTCGTGTTTCAAATCAATTCGCAGCATGCTGTTCCATCCATCACGAATAAATTGCACAATGTGATAACGACCATCAGCGATATCAACGTGTGGTTGTGTCACCGTTTGTTGTCCGTCTCCCATATTATAGCGAACAGCGAGCACATGGTAAGTCTACAAAGTGATAAGGATAAATTAGCTAATCGAATGCAGAAATATTGTCCACTATCTACTTATCAATTACCTACAATAGGCGTGAGGTCAAAAATTGTACCAGATATGACGCGGGAAAGATCTTCCTATTGATACTTAAACGCTTATTTAAGTTAAAGTTTTATTGAGTATTGATACAGTAAAAGTAGATATACATGTACAGTAACCAACCTTGAGTGGAAATATAAAAACCTCGATGAAGTCCGGCGAGACGCCGGATCCTTTGATATGCAAAAGCCGAAGGGAACCGCGATGTGTTGCTTGTATTCCAAAAGCCAGCTGATCTCGAGTGGTGTTTTGTACGGGGTTAAATTCGAATGTTAGGTACGTGGGTGGTTTCTTGTGAAGATGAATTGTTGTGGCCGCTGTCGGGAGGAGAGTACAGGCTTTGTATAAGTGAAAATCTACACAAAGCAGTTTTGAAATAGGTGTTAGAAAGAAATATAATAGATAATTGTTACCTCAATAGAAAAGGTAACGAGTTATTCAGTTGTAATATCTATGCCAGTTGAGTAGGCAATAGGAGTTAGTTTCCACAATGTTGCGGGGCGAACAATATAAGGGTTTTCATTTACGGTCAACGGCAGATTTATTCCCTGGTGCCCGCTAATTATGATCATCGATAATAAGCCCAAGATTATAGCGTAGAAACAGACGCATTAGTGGAATTATACGTGCCTACGTAGATGTAGAATAAGTGTCGATATACTGCATCCAGCATATATACCTTGTACTCGGGAAAAAAGTACCTTATCCGTCCAAACGATAAACAGAAAAGAGAAAGCGCGATTAAGCAAGTGAACCACAACATTTTTACTCACGAATCGTGCAACGATCGCCTGAGTAAGTTGTCATTGAGCAATCGCACCGAGCAGCATGCAGTTGTTGAACACAGCGACCCTGAAACAAACAAGTGTTTGGCAAACAGGGCGCACTGTGATTGCGAGGAGCTCCAAGCGAGCGTATGTGACAACCGGGCTCCGCGTTATGCCAAGAAATCAGCTGTTGTTTATGGGAATGAACGCTGATCAGCTGCCAAGTCGATTCTGGAGATGTGGAAAGGATGTGTTGGTTGGGTCCATAATCTGATAGATTAACGCTGACTGAAGCAATGCACCCAGCGAATCCTGACGTGGTTTGGAATAGCCGGCGAAATGGCTGATAATCTGAATGACTGAAAGGGAAAGTATTCAATGTTGTAATCTAGAGGAATAGATGGCTTTCTAAGCATTTCTTATATTAAAACTACAAGCGACTGGAGTGATATTTTAAATAGCGAGCTAACTACTGCATATGGTTCACACGCCAGTCGGTGGACATGATTCGGTGAACTTATTGCGGAAAATGTAGCATTGTTTAGATCACAGAGGAAGAAAATGAGCACCTAAGTTCTCTGATCTATAGCCTGCTGGTGTTTGGAAGTGAGTTGGAATATATTATGCAAACTCGGCTTCTTATACAAAAACAGGGCACCTACATGTGTTTATTCGCCTGGTACGCTAGCATCCATTTCGAGTGTAGCTAAAATATTCCAATTCATATTTTTAGTATTTATGTCCAAATCTAGTTCTCGTCGTTACCACAGTCACACATCTTCGTTAGCCGTGTTAGTTTTAGAAATAGTCCATCATTAAGAATACTGATTCATTGAAACTTGGAAGTAATTGCGTGTAGAGGGGAATTTACCAAATAAAGAAGCCAATGCATTGCTTGACCGAATCGTGATGGATGCTTTTCTTCATCAATCCAAAAATTTCCATTTCATAGAATGAATCGAAGCAAAGCAGATATTTTGCAAGGAATATTTTACGGTACGTCTCATTAGACTCAAACCATAGATAACGACGATTACAGGTTATCATGTGCCGGAAAAGGCTGTGAATTGATCAAAAAAGTTAATTCCAACGGTAACGTAGCTAGAATTCTTGCGGCCATAGGAGGTAGCCAACTAATTAAAACGTTAAATCACTTTCACAACAATAGATTACTTTTGGTGTAAATCAACTGTTCACGCAACAGAAGTCGTAGGCCACGGTAAAATTAACGGCGTCTGGCGCTCGCCGGATGGATTTTCTCGCTTTATTTGACAGGACAGTTTTCATCGTTCGCTACTTTGTGCAGAGCAGTTTTCGTGTTTATTTTTGTCAAATTTGGTTTACGATTCGGAATTTGGTTATTGTCCACTAGTTTGTATCGGTATATTTTACTTTGATACTTTTATCGCGTACTTACCTTTTCCTTCATCATCTTTACCGTCACATTGTTAAGCTATCAGTAATGAGAAAGCTGGCTTCCTGTGGCACTTGTTGCAAAGTAGTTGGGCATAGAGCCAATGCTGTTACATTTCTTAAGTGTGGTGTGAATTTCCACATTTTGTGTATTGGTTTGTCTTTAGATCGTTCTAAACCACTACGTGAACTCCAGCACGAGTTTATCCAAATAGTGTGCAAGAATTGCCAACCAAGTATGCAGCCACAAGCGGCAGAGAAGCCGCGCGCGTCTACAAGACTGACCAAACGTTCCGCAGGGAGGAGCTCCGTGGGTTCATCCAAGCAACCGCAAACTCAGCCATCTCCATGTTCGAACGAGCCCACCTACATATCGGCTGCAGGCTATCCAGAGCGATGTCCACGCGTTGTTGGAGACTCAAATGGTGTGCCTGTGTTGCGTCCTACGGACACTAACATACTGGTGCGATAGCGCAGATGTTGAAGGCCAAATGGGGATGCAGCGAAGCAAAAAGAAGAGAACAGCCAGAAATCAGCGGCGTTGTGATCCTGTGATATTTCATGTGCCTGTCGACAGATGCTAATCCTCAGAATCGTTATAACACCGCCGCAGGTTTCCTGCGGAGCCTGATTGATAGGCTTCTCCACGTAAATAAACAGGGGTTGCAGGGGAAGTAAATCACTCGTTTTGGAAAGAGAGAGGAGGGGAAGTTCCGTTTTCTGCGAGTCACGCTTGTTGATGCAACAAGTCCAAAGCTATTACTATCCCGCATCTGTAGGCTAAGAGATCTAAAGATCCATGTTCGTCTCAATTTGGATCCGTCGGCCAGAGAGAAACTGATGTCCACTTTCGTAGATTTGAAGCGGAGGACTGATAGTGGAGAAAGGAATAACCACATTGTAAATTTTCTGGTAGTTCCCCGCGTCCGCCAAACCCAGATCATCAGGGCGACGAAACTTCGTCCGTCGGTTCCTACCGCGGCCTACGCGTAGCCTTCATAAATGTTTTTAGTTTACTAAATAAAAGTGACTATATATATATATCGCTTTGTTGCCTCTCGTCCTCCGGACTTATTAAGACTGGCCGAAACCTAGTTAAATCCTGTGACCACTACCTAGGAAATCCAGATTAGTGGCTACTGAAGCTCCAGATGGAACAGATTATCAAACGATCGAGGCGTCGTGCTGTTATACATTTGTTCCTCTGGATGCCGGAGACTAGTACACAGCTACCGTAGCGACGATGATTTGTGCGGACAGTTATGGTGTTTGAGCCGCCGGAGAAAAGGTGAGCTGTTTATGGGTGCGGCTTATCGGAGTCTGCGAAGTCAGTGCTTGGACTGATTGCCACTTGTCAGAAACTATATGAATCATCCCCGATTCCTGCATATATGTGACTGTAGGTTTCTTTGAATACGGTGACCTGAGATTCAACTACTCCTCGGGTACTGTGAAGTTGAGGCGCAGTTTGCGGAGTTGGTATTTCAAACTGGGGCAGCACAACATGTGTGCCAACCAACGCGTGTTACACCACATTCCACTCCATCGTGCCTGGACCTACTACTAACGGGTTGCGAGCAACGGGTTCATGAAATGCAGGTTCTGGAGCCCTTGGCAGCTTGTAAACACTCGATGGTTGTAGCCAGCCCAGTGCTGCCGCTGCCCTACTTGCGTCTTCTGTAGCCTTCCTAAACTAATTGGAAGACCGAATTTAATGGTCTAAAGCGAGCCGCCAGTGAAGTAGACTGGTGGGTGCTGCATGATTCATCTCTCTAAGCCCGTTGGTCTGATTTAAAAGAGAATTTACAATCAGTGTGCAATAGTTGCATACTTCTTAATATCGGAAAGCTGGACCGGTGAAGTCAACTTGGTTCTACAGATAGTGCAGTCAATTGGCTCGACGGAGACGCGAATTGTGGAATAAACTTGTGTCTGGCTCTGCCGAGGATTTTGAGGCGTATAAAAGGCAGCGAAATCAATGCAACAGCGCATAAGCGCGAAGGCATCGGCACTTCGAATAGCTGTTTGCAACATCGGTGAAGACGCCCCCCAAGAAGCTATTTGCTTACGTGAAGCGGCGTCTGAGGCCCGCAAGTGACGTAGCTGTGTTAGGGGCAAGGATGAACGAATGCTGACCTCCAGCACTGAACGTGCTTCCGCATTGGCTGAGCACTTCGCTTCCGTATATACAAAAGGCTATGCGCCTATGCCGAGCTCGACATGTGCGGCCCCTACTGAACTCGAGAACCTTGATTGAGGTACAGAAGCTTTTCGCCGTCTACTAGTCAGTCTCGACGGCACATAACCTGCCTGACCGATGGACTTAAGCCACTAATTTTGAAGTCCTTATCGGCCATCATCTCGACTACTCTGACGGATCTGTTCAACAGATTGCTGTCCGAGGATGCATTGTCGAGCGACTGAAAATGCCCGGTAGTGAAGTCGATTCAAAAAGGCGGTGACTCACGCAATGCGGACAATTATCGGCCGATTTGTGTCATCTGTTTTGACGAAGGTGCTTCAGAGGATTGTGAAAGAGGGTCTTCTCCAGCTGCTGGAGTTGGAAGATCTCAACGCCGCCACAGTACAGCTTCATGAAGGGCCGCTCGTGCATCACCGACCTGCTGTTGAAGCAGCAGGAATGGTTACCAGCGTTGAACCGGGGGAAGTCTGTGGATGTTATCTACATTGAGTTCAGTATGGCTTTCGATAAAGTGAACCATGAGGTCCTGCTCCACAAACTGAAGTTGTATGGTGTATGTGGCGGATTTAACAGTAAATCGGTGATATTCTTATTAGGAGAAGAAGGCGGGTTCAGGTGGATTATAAGCTAACGGAATGGTACCCGCACACTAGCGGTGTACCCCAATACACAGCAATATGTCTCATTTTATTCCTGATCCACATCAACAAACTACCTTAGCTTCTTTGGTCGCCCTGCATATAATTTACGGATGACTTGAAGATTTATTGGATTATTGATCCTTCCGCTGACTGTCACGGCTTTCAGCAGGACCTCGTCCGCCTATCCCTGTGGTCTGCAGCAGCTGACCTACCGACCAACACGGCCAAGTCCTCATTCATTAGAATGGAAAGAGGTAGTAATGGGCGTGCGTACACCGTGGCCGTCCACCCGCTGCATCCCACCAGTTCCGTAAATGTTCTCGGCATACTCTCCATCTGTGATCTGAAGTCTGTCGACAACACGAACAGACTGTACGTAAACTGAGTACGCCTGCTTTGGACGCTCAGACGCAGCTTCTGCACCTGGTCTAAAGAGTTTTCCACCCATCCGTTCTCTTCCATAATAAGACCGGGGCTTGAGTAAGGCTCATCCGCTTATTGCAGAGACTGGAACATGTCCAGCATGTGGCTACCCTGATCCTCCGCCGTTTACGGGCTGTTGCACCAGGACAGATGTAGGAGACTAGGGCTTTATACCCTATCTTGATCTCATTATGACGGACCGGATACTGCACCTGCTCCATTTCCTTATGTTAATGTCGCTGCTGAATGCTCGCGCACCGAGCAGCACACACGTTCACCCGTACAAACTAGTAGTACCGGATTTAAGGCACATCGCTCCTCTCGATGCAGCAAGCGTCGAGTGGTGCAATATTGAGACAAATTACCAGAGACGCAAGTCGAGGCGCAATCGGTGTGGGAATTTAAGAGATTCATTGAAGCCCACTTTGCGGACTCCAGGTATATAGAACTTATCGCAGCCGGATAAGATGCAGTTCGGCTGCAATATGCATCTACCGCGAAGGAACGAGCAACGTGATTCCGCGCACGTGCCCGATCCACCTAGGATGGGGCAACACCTTTTTACCCTTCTCTCTATTCTCAATATGCATTGTCCAGTACGCGTAAGTCAGACTTGAGGTGGCGATCATAAATAGCGTCAGAACTCCATGGGCGAACTAATGGTAATCCGCGGAAGAAA